TTAAAGGAGCAAACAATGATCCCCACAAACTACGGAGCCCTGAACAATTGACTTTCCCAACCTTGGGATCCTGACCCCATGTGGGGGCTCGCCTTAAATTTGTATTTATTGGTCAATACAACATATATTGTACATTAAAATATAGTGAACACAGCCTAATGTGGCCTGTAGCCAATGCCAAAATAAGAAACTTCCAGAGTATCGTCAATGTGCAGAAATGTCCTCCCAGCATTTCTTCCTCTGTCCACAATAATAAACATGAAAAAGATGAACTGTGGTCTAAGATGAAGGTTTACTTGCAACACACTAGAGAAAAACTACGACATGATTGAAAACATTAATTTGAGCTGTTTGTGTTTTGGATGTCAGGAGTCATCAGAGTTTTGTGAAGTCACAGGGGGGTCAGGGTCTAGAAAAGTGTTAGGTGTGTAAGGAAAATAATCTCCTGGGCATAAGTTTCTAAAACCTCCATGAGAAAGTTAAGTGTTCACATGAGATGATTTATGTTCAGGAGGAAATATTGTGAGTGCAGAAGAAATGATCATTAGAAAGTAGAAAGTGTGAAGTGTTCATCTGAGAGTTTCTTTCCTTCTGTCTCGTATGACGAGCTTGATGTTCTTTTGCCGTCTCAGTGAGCAGGAGACATCTCAGAGAGTTTCATGTACACGTGTGATACCTGTGCATCTAAACATTTTTGAATAATTCTTAAAAAAAGTGTAGGGGGGTTTTGTCAAGAGGAAGATGAGAATCTCCAAAACAGACGACATGAAGGTCACTATGAAAACAACCGGGGTCTCCATATCACCTCAGCAGGGCCTCCACACCACACTGATGCAGTTAAATGTGCAAAAAGAGCGCCAACCAAGTATTGAGTGCACAAATTGAAATACTTTTCAGAAGGTCAACATCTCTTTTATGAAGAATGAATCTTTTTTTTAATTGGTTTTATTCGATATTCTGATATTTTATGATGCTGAATATTTTCTTTTAACGAGCTATAAGCCAGGATCCTTGAGATGAAAACAAGAAAAAAGGCTTCAGCATGTGTCACTTTTTTAATTAGATTACAGAAAAGAAGTTTATCCCCTGTATTCAAAAAAAGTTTTAAGTTCACCTGTGCTGCTTTCTCGTTGGCATGTCAAACATTCTCCTTTCTCAGAACATGTTAAACTTTACTGTGAGCACAAAAAACTCTCTAGTAATCGTGTGAATTTTTCTCCTGAACATGTCAAACTTTCTGAGAGAACCGGTTAGTTCTGGAGCACACCAGAAACCTTTTGATTTTTATTTCTTTAGTCCGTATACACAGATACTTAACATGTAAAGTAAATAATTTGCTTATTAAAAAAAATGTGTTTAAACAGAAAGTGTAAAGTCAGTTTAATTAGAATATTTATTTTCACAAGTGTCCATTTGCCGTGTTGATTTGTATCAGGTTTGTTTTTGAGGCAGGTCGTCTCATCAGGGTAACTGTGATCACCTGGACTGAACGCTTCTCAGGGGGTTTAAAAGCTCGCTCCTCATCCCGCTCTCGAGGCTCTCTCTCTCTTTCTGTGTGTGTGTGTGTGTGTGTGTGTGTGTGTGTGTGTGTGTGTGTGTGTGTGTGTGTGTGTGTGTGTGTGTGTGTGTGTGTGTGTGTGTGTGTGTGTGTGTGTGTGTGTGTGTGTGTGTGTGTGTGTGTGTGTGTGTGTGTGTGTGTGTGTGTGCTCTTTAGCATTTTGTTCATGAAACTTTCTTTTCAGTACCAGCTCTCTTTTTCTTTTTTTTTCCTTCGTTCTGGGTAATATTTTGTAAACAAAATTGCCAATTTGCAGTCACCCAGTCGTGACATGTTTCAACCTCATCAGCAGCCACACACACAAACCTCTGGATGAGTCATGACAGAGCAGCCCAGACGATCAATCCTACCAGACTTCATACTCAACTGTAGAGACCATCCTCTCCAAAGAAATACTCAAATATGAAAGAAGACAAAGTCAATCACATTTAGAATTGATGGGAATGTGACTTCCTAAAAGTGAAATATGATTTAAGAAATGCAAAGAGTCAATAAAAACCATCATGATTACAGAAAGTTTCTGGAGTTGAGAATGAAAAGGAGGAGATGAAACTGGTTAAAAATGACTTCATACCAACTGCATCACACAGCAGCTTTTCCTCATAACATGTCGAGGGTATGTCAGCATAATTTAACTCCACTTAAAGCAAAAAAAAGGAACGTATGATGCGACATGCGTCCAGCGATAGGTGAGAAAAGGTGGGGAGATTCTTCAGTTGATAAAAAGCCAGTGATGTGGTGAGAACATGCTGAAAGTTTCTGAAGGTTAAGGTTGATAAGACCAAGAATAAATTGTGCATTAAAGGAGCAGTATGTAACTCTGACCCCTAGTGGTTAAAATGGGTACTGTAGTATAGATTCTAAACATCATAGAGAGCTGTCTCCCCCCCCTCCTCTCTAGAGTGGATGTTCACTCAGGTCACCATGTGGTGGACTCTGAAGCTTCAGTGTTTATCCAGCTCTGCATGGGTCTGTAAACCTTTCTGTGTTCTAACCTCTCTCCATTTTTCAAAAGCATCTCCAATATTGATCCTAGTTTGAGCACGTTTCTGCTCGTGGAGCTTATTAGAAACATGCAGAGGCTTTTTAGGTCGGGTACAATCACTTCTATCTGAACCGCTTCTCTTCACCGCAGCATGAAGACCACCAACCTGTTCATGCACAACTCATGTAGGGCAGTGGTTCCCAAAGTGGCGGGTGTGAGATGCCTTCTAAAAAAAACCCATAATAATACAAAATAAAACTAAAAAAAGGTCAAAATGCTCCAGTAACACTTGTAGTAAGAAGATCAACTTTATTAACAAATTAGACCGACACGTTTCGGCTCGTGGCCTTCATCAGGGTCATCAAGAAACAGATTAACAAACATGATTTAAATAGGGTGGGTACACAATTGAAGGAAAGGTAAAAAAAATTCAAAAAGGTAGGGACAACCAATCAAATGCCTCCACATATGTGTGTATCAATTGACAGGCCATGAAATAAAACTGAGCTGCTTGAATCTTTTTTTTTCCTTTAATGGAGAGACAGGACAGTGGATAGAGTCGGAAATCAGGGAGAGAGAGAGAGTGGGGAATGACATGCGGGACTCGAGCCTGAGCCTCCAGGGTCGTGCGCACTAACCACTGCGCCACCAGCACCCCAAGCTGCTTGGATTTTTGTGCACCATTAGTGGCATAATAATAATAATAATAATAATAATAATAATAACTTTATTTCTATAGCACCTTTTAAAAACACAGGTTTACAAAGTGCTTTGACAAACAGCAAAAACAAAAACAAACTGAACCAAACACAGAAGAACATAAACAACAACAAGAACATAACAAATGCAAAATACTCAAAATAATTAAATACAATTCAACAGAAAAGAACCCAAAGTGCACGATACCCAACAGACATATAGAACCCAACCATCATAAGAACCATCATAAGAACCATCACAAGAACCATCACAAGAACCATCATAAGAACCATCATAAGAACCATCACAAGAACCATCATAAGAACCATCACAAGAACCATCACAAGAACCATCACAAGAACCATCATAAGAACCATCACAAGAACCATCACAAGAACCATCATAAGAACCATCACAAGAACCATCATAAGAACCATCATAAGAACCATCATAAGAACCATCACAAGAACCATCACAAGAACCATCACAAGAACCATCATAAGAACCATCACAAGAACCATCACAAGAACCATCACAAGAACCATCATAAGAACCATCATAAGAACCCAGGCAACACAAGAACCATCACAAGAACCATCACAAGAACTCAGGCAACACAAGAACCATCATAAGAACCATCACAAGAACCATCACAAGAACCATCACAAGAACCATCATAAGAACCATCACAAGAACTCAGGCAACACAAGAACCATCACAAGAACCATCACAAGAACCATCACAAGAACTCAGGCAACACAAGAACCCAACAACACGAGCTGAGACCAAGAGGAACCAAAGATTTAAAAAGATGTAAGAAACTAAAAGAGCTCAAAGTAAATAAAAAGAGAACAGCAATAAGAAGGTAAGAGCAGGAAGAGAAATAGAAACAAGTGAATTAATTATCAAAAAAACAAAACAATAATATAAATGAAAATAAAATGTAAATATACATATAAAACATAAATAGACAAAGTAAGTAAGATAAGAAATTGCCAAGTTAAAATATAAGAGGAGTTAAGATAAGAGCATAAATAAAAGGACAGTAAGAAGTAAAAGAAGATAAAAATAGTAAAACCAGAAAGAAAAGACTTTAAGAAGACGATAATGTTAACAAACTGTAATGAGAAAGACCGGTGAAGAGCAAACACAGAAAAAAGAAAGCTGTCATTACAAATCAGAGTTATTCCACCAGACACTTACATCTGAACTCTTCAGAAGTTAAATCATTATTTTGTTGTGAATAAATGAATATGAACTTGAGTTCCATTGCATTATACACTTTCTTAATTTTGTTTAGTGCATCAATTTTTTTTTTTTTTTAAAGCTCTTTTAATCCAAATCTATAAACCATTTTTCAGCAATCTTCACTTTGGGTGAGTAAGGGTTAAAAAGCTCAGCCTGATGTCTCCCCACTGATGTATTTAAAGTGTCACACAGGTGGGGGAAACGAGTCCTTAAAGTTATTTTAGTGCTCACAGAGCGTTTTGTTTGTTTATGGAGGTTCTGAAATCACCTCCTCGTCGTGCTCCCTGAGGACACAGGATCCAGCAGCAGTCTGCTGAGTCTCTGCAGGGGGAACATTTAGAACCACTGACCCACTCTGTTCTGATCGGGGAGAACATGACCACACCTCCTGCTCCTCTGCGTGTGTCTATTGGCTGCTGGGATTTCTCTTGCTCCTGGATGTGGCTGCTGTTGAGGGTTTATACTATTAAAAGTCCCCCACACTCCTCCATCCTCTCTGACACTTGTTGCTGCAGTCTGTGCGCAGAGAGGGAGCGAGGGACACCTGAACACTCCACATTTCTCCTTTTGGGATTTCCCGCGGGGAGTGATGAACTCCATCGACCCCCAGTCCCATCACCAGCACCAGCACCACCAGCACACCACCTCCCCTACCGTCGGCTCTCTACCACCCAAAGGCGCCCAGGAGGCCCCGGACATGGCCGCTGTTTACTGCGACAACTTCAGCAGCATGTACCACCAGCAGAGTCTGCAGGGCGCGCAGAGACCCGCGGGGTACGGCATCGGGGATTACGCTCCGTCTCCAAACCCGTACCTGTGGCTCAACGGGCCGGGCGTCAACTCCTCCGCGTCCTACCTGCACGGAAACAACACGGCCACCTTCATCCCGTCCTCCTACGGCTCCCAGCGGCAGTTCATAACCAACTCACCTGGCTTCGGGGGGCCGGACCTGGGCTGGCTGTCCGTCGCCAGCCAGGAGGAGCTGCTGAAGCTGGTCCGGCCGCCGTACTCGTACTCCGCGCTCATCGCCATGGCCATCCAGAACGCACACGAGAAGAAGCTGACCCTGAGCCAGATCTACCAGTACGTGGCGGACAACTTCCCCTTTTACAAGAAGAGCAAGGCCGGCTGGCAGAACTCGATCCGCCACAACCTGTCTCTGAATGACTGCTTCAAGAAAGTGCCGAGGGACGAGGACGACCCAGGTACCATGAACGCACCAGGGAACATCTTTACACTGTCATAATATGAGGGTCAGATAAAAGTTAAATAAAAAGGGACACTTGAGGAAGCTTTAAATCATCAGACTTAATCATTTGAACCCGTAAAATATAGAATCAAACTTTAAAATGATAAAATAAAAATAAAATTAGACGTTTTAATTCAGTGTTTTTGCTTTAAATCTTTTTCCCTCCACGCTAATCTTTCTTTTGTTTTGTTTTTTCTAAAATTTTTAACCAGACGTTAATGCTTTGTGGAAATCTTTAAATGTATTTTTAAAGCATATTAAATGTATGACTGCACTGTAAAAAAAAAAAAAAAAAACAGTTAACATAGGCTTAAATGAACTTGTTGTTTTCAGATGCTAATAAATGTAAAACCACCTGATTGTTTAGTCATTTAAAAAAATGTAATGACACTAAATTATATGTACAGACATTAATTAATTCATTTAATTTTAGCAGGAAAAGTCTCATTAAGATTAAAAATCTCTTTTACAAGAGCGTCCAGCAGCACAATCTACAGAGTTTACAACACTTAACAACAATTAACTTAAATAAAGGAATCACTAAACGAACCATTCATCACAATGAGTCATGAATCATCAACAACAAGGCAATACGAGTTATTTAAAAACAATCCAGTTCAGTACGGGTTGTATGGATGGTTAAAGGTTATAAATCCTGGGAGTGAAGGTTATAACTTCCAGAACTTTTTTGAAGTATGTATCGTTAATGCTCCATATAAGGAGGTATTGTTCTATTTTCGCTTATACTTTAAATATTTAAAATCTGTTTTTAAAGTATTTTTTTATTTGGAAAAAATCATGCTTGCATTGCAGTCTGACAATTATTGCTCTGTTTATATTTAACCCTGAAACTTTGCAACGTGTCCACAAACCGGTCACACATGTTTTTCACACTGATCCGTATTCATCTACACTGTTCAACACGTTGTGTCTATTTATAGTTTTAAATAAAGTTTATATCTTTAAGACACATATCTTTCAGTTCAAACATCACATTTTATTCTAGTCTCACTTGGTACTTATTCCTTATTTTATAACATCTCTATTCTATTTTATTTTTACATTTATTTCTATATTTCCTACTTCTACATTATGTTTAAAAGCAACTGGAAGAACTGAACTTCCTCCTGGGATTTATAAAGTATTTCTGATTGTTTTTAATCCTCTCCTTTGTTTCAATCTAGAGCTCAGAGAAGTTGGTTCAGTCAATTTTGATTATTTTACAAAATGTTTAAAACAGACGGAAATATGAGAGAAATTAGAGCAACTGATTTAAAATATACTTATCTGCAATGTTATTTCCAAAGCATGTATCTGTAGAGTCTTACCTCTAAAGGGGAAAATTATTCTTTAAGCATGAATCATTTTTTAATAAAAGTTATGTTTTCTGCATCACGTCTTTAAATCAGGTCTGATTTAATTCATCTGAAATGTAAATTCTAATGATGTGAAATGTTCTGCGTCTCGTCTTCCAGGAAAAGGAAACTACTGGACGTTGGACCCGAACTGTGAAAAGATGTTTGATAACGGGAACTTCCGCAGGAAAAGGAAAAGACGCTCCGACCCGAGCGGCGCCGGAGGAGCAGCAGCAGCGGGAGCGTCAGGAGCCACTAAAGTGGAGGACGGCAGACCGTCGGCGGGGGGAGCGGGGGCGGGGGGCCCCCTGAAGCCGTCAGACAGTCCTCAGCTGCTGGGGCCGTCCTCGCCGGAGATGGAGGCCATGAACGAGAACCACAAGGGCTCGTCGTCCTCCTCGCCGCCGGGCCTGTCCTCGAGCGCCCCCTGCTTTAACAACTTTTACAGCAGCATGTCCTCGCTGGGCTCCGGGGGCCCCGGCCGGCAGGGGTCCCTGGGACTGGTGAACGAGCTGTCGAACAGGAACATTACGGCCCTGAGCCCGTACCACCTGAACCACGGCGGGCAGGACGCGGGGCCTGCCGAGCACGGCGATGGCCTGCACTTTAACCGTGGAGTGTACTACAACACGTTTGGCGGCGGGCAGGGCGGACAGTTCAACGGTCACTTCTACAACAGCTTCAGCGTCAACAGCCTGATTTACCCGCGGGAAGGGAGCGAGCTATAAGGACGTCGCGCCGTTTCTAGAGACCTGCTGCTGCCCGGTGAATCCATCTGAAACACACAAAACACTGCAAAAAAAAAAGTCAAATCTGATCACGTCTCATAAGCCACATTCACCTCACAAGTCCTGATAAACTGCGGATTTTCAAAATAAAACAGGCAAAAAAAAAAAAAAAGTCTTAAATTGCTTGTTATGAGCAGAACTGGCAACCCGTGCAGCAAGAGAACCGCACAGGTGAAGTTTATTGGAATATAATAATTCTGATAATGAGCACATCAGGCCGTGTTTGTGTTTTTCTCTTGAGATTAGATTTACCTGGACGCTTCAGGTGAACGTGGCTGTGAGTAAGTGTGTGTGAGGAGATATTTTGACTTCAACGCTCTGGTTAAGATTTTGTGTTTTTCGCAGTGAAAGTAAAAGTTCAGTCACTGTCAGAGAAGTCACAGGCCCCGGTGCATGCTGGGTAATTTCCTCCTCTCTGCATCGAAAAACACTCCTCCTTCCTTCACCCGTCGGTCCAGCGGAGAGATTACAGATGATTGAACTCGACACACAGAAAAAAAAGAGCACTTAAACTTTTTAACTCTTTTATTTTAACGACTATATCAAAGCTTCTACTTTGCTCTTAACGCTTAGAAACACACAACGCAAAGTACAAAACCACTGAACACTCTTTTGTAATATTTGTAACATCTATTTTTTTAGATTTTCTGCAGGATCTTTTCCCTCCTCCTCTCTCGTCATTGTTAAAGATGTCACTCACCGTGCACGTCTGCAAGCGTTGCCAAAACGGAGCCCAAATTCCGAGCTGATTTTTGTTACGCCGACTCAGCTTTTATTCTGCCAAAGTTGCCTTTGTGATGCCGCCATTACCTCAAAACGTGACAATCACACGAGAGACAGAGAGCGCCGCCGTGTCTCTTTAATGCAGTAACAAATTAGTTTCACATGAATATGACCCTTTCTGCCTTATTTTTTGATACCCTCCATGTCGACTGAAAACGCAGCACTTCTGCAACTTGTAAATACACGTTGGACTTTCTCAAAATTGTATTTTTTGTAAATTATAAAGACGGTTTTGTGATTATTTATGCTATTTATGCTAACAGGCTTTTTGTTTTCTACTGTTGTCTGGACGTAGTTTTTGATTCAAGCGAGAAGTGAATATTAGTTTAAAAAAAAAAAAAACATGCCGAGAACAGTATGACAGAAACACAGATGTCTTAAATATATGAATATATATAAATATAAATCTATATGCTATATACGATGGTTTCTCTCAGGATTCAGTGTGACAAACATTGAACGGCTTTTGTATCTATTTTTGTCCTTTTTTTAAAAAATCTTTCTACAGTGCATACAGCTTCCAGGCAGTGTCACCTGTGTCTTAATAAACATCATGTGGTCTCCACTCTGTTGTCATGCATCATTTTCAAACGGGGCCGCAGAGTGTTCAGGGCTTCATTTTCATCTGAATACATCTCTTGTAAATTCACTTAAACCTCATATTTAATGACTTCTTCTCCGCTCAGCTCCGTACAGCTTCTTACACTTTATACACAACAACAACAACAACAACAACAACAACAACAAACTGTCAAGGGTAGAGATTTTTATTTTTTTGCAACTTTGTGTTTATTGGGCAATCCAAACATAGTTCATTTCTTACATCATTGTTCTTTTTAAAAAAAAATGTTATACAAAACAATAATAGAATGCAGAAGAAGACAAAATGGTTATAATAAAATCTTAATTTGCCCATTTTTTTGTAATAGAGGAAAATAAAACAACAAAAAACAAGCAACCCACATAAAAAAAAACACACACACACACACACACACACACACACACACACCAAAACCAAAAAGTGACACACACATCATCAGTGACATAACCATGATTTAATTTGCGTTTCCATACATCCCCCTGTTCAGTATATATTTAATAAATTAAGATATCACCACATTTTCCGTTGCCAACCTGTATCTAAACATCCTCCATCACGTGTTGCCATGGAAACCATCTGTCAAGGAATTTTGCATTTTGCGGTCTTATTTTAAAAGTTATCTTTTCCATTATGTGAATTCCTTCGACATATAAATTCCCTTCCCATGCAGAGATGCAGAGATTTTTAATGCAAATATTTAGATGGTTTCAAAGTAGTTTCAAAGTCGGTGCATTCTTTTTCTTTATCCAAACTCAAACTTGACGTGTTCTTTTCTGCAACGACTGTCTGATGTAAGTCACAAAACAAGTTCTAAACTCTGATTTTAATCCTTTAATCCGGGAGTTCAAGTCCAACTAAAGCAAAGTTAATCTGCCTGTCTCTGTTTCTTTTTCTATTCATCGTCAGCGACCTGACGTTTTGAGGAACGATGTCACGCTCAGAAGAGTCTGAGAGAGAGAGAGAGAGAGTCTTTATCCATCAATCTTTATTTGTATATAATTCATGACAAGTGTTATCTCGAGACACTTTACAAAAAGCAGGTAAAATATTTTTACACTTTGTTGTGACGTTACAAAGACCCAGCGTTAATCCATCGTCATCAGCACTTAGCAACATTTAGCTAAAGTTACAGTGGCAAGAAAAAATCTTCATTTTAAGATGAAGACATCAAATCCAGAATCATGAAGAACAGAAATCTATAGTTTTATTTTTAATGCTCATTCACAGTTTTAATTCACAACAGTTTCCTGAGCATGCAAAGCAACACAATCAGAAAGAAGAGTTATAATTATAATAAAAGAAAGGGGGGAGGGGAGGGGGGTGATCTTTAGATGTCATGTACCTGTCATACATATAGTTTCTGGAGGTCACCTATATCAATGTCCATCCCTCGTTGTGTAAAGTTTGTTCAGTCGTTAAAAAGCATAACTTAAGTCTGGGTGGATTTTGTTGTTTCCATCTCCTTCTTATCTGCTTCACTGTCAAAATATAAAAAAGATAAATATCTGCAGTGTTTATTCCCTGCCTGACTAACTTTCTACCTCTAAATATTTATTTAACTCAAAGATTAACATAAAACTTTTTAAACCTCTTCCCAAAATGATAATTAAACTGAACATTTATGTACATAGTTTGGTCCCCTCAAAAGAAAAAAACTCAATTTCACATCCAGAATAACTGTAATAAAATCATCTTTTAAATCTCTGATTTACATCGCTTTGGATAAAAGCTTCTGCTGTATGAAACAAAACATTTTGCTCCTGTTATTTTTTTCATTTCCATCTATATTAAAAAGGAAATAATCTTCAGAAAAGGTAAAGGGGTAATAATGGATTTGAAGTGTCTAAAAATGTCAATTCCCGTTTTTTGTTTTGGATTTTGAAAATTTCCCAAATATCAGAGAATCGAAAAAAGACCAAGTACTTTGAGTTTTCTGTTTTATCTTTCATCACAAGAAGAAGTTCACTGATTTACACGAGTCTGTGTGTAGATATAAGTGCTCATAAGTGTGTTTGTCTATATTTATGTAATAATCACAGCTGGTTTTACTCCGACACGTCCTCTCTCCACACACACACACACACACACACACACACACACACACACACACAGATGAGCTGAGCGTTTAAAAGCTTCGACAGAAATCAGGAGAGAGAAAAAAGTTCAAGTCTGGCGCGGAGCCAAGGCGACGCGGCTGACAGACACCCTCGATCCAGAGAGCGCTGAAACAATACGCCTATTGTCCTCGGCCCTTCACGCCGATCCCCATGTATCAATTATGGACTCTGTGAAGAGAGGTGAAGATATCCCCCTCAGGGCGACACGGTTTGAGCATCTCTCTTTTGTCTCCCGCTCCGCCGCTGTGTTTGCCCCAAATCGAGAGGAGGCCATCTTGCTTTGTCCCCCCCCCCCGACGCTTAGAGGCGACGCGTCAAGAAAAGTGTCTGCAAATAGCCACCGAGCATCGAGCGGAGCGGAGTAAAGTGATGAGATGAGTTAGATTTCAAATCATGATGGAGCTTAAAGCATGAAACAGAAATGCTTTGATGACCTTTAATTTGACGGTACAGGACATTTAGTCTGGTAGCTGCAGAATTATAACAACTCTGCACTCTGCAACAAACTGAAAACTCTCAAATTCAAAAAACTGGTCGACTTTAAAACCATCCTCATCGTGTTCAGAGTGAAACATGATCAGCTACAGATCAGCATCCAGAGGTTTTTTTTATCAGCAGAGGAAAGTAAACTCAACGTCAGAGGATTCAAAATGTTCAGAGAATGATCTGTAAGGTGTCACAGCAGGGGGGGGGGTAATTAATGGAACAGCTGCAGTGAAGAAATAAAAACATGTAGCACATATGAAAAGTGCAAAAAGATGAACATATTTAACAGATTTAAAACTGAAGAATCAGTGAATACAACGGAAACATAATCTGATGTCCGCTCTGAATTAAAAAAAAAAGACAATCTGCATGAGAATCAGAATCAGATTTATTGTCCAGGTATGCTTACACACACAAGGAATTTAACTTTGGTGAACTGTGCTTTCTTATGTACAGGTACAACATTAAATATCAACAATAAACATGATAAGAAAAGACTAATATTTACATGACTAAATATGAAACAGTGCAGTGGTGAATAGTGCAAAAGAGTGGAAAAAGTGAAAAAAGACACAGCTAACAAATTCAGCCAGATGTGTCCGCCTCCAAAGTCATTTAACCTCCTCTTAGAATCATCCAATGAGAGCAGCTCGTTAAGTCTCAGCTCTTTTTTGTAAAGGGAGCAGCAAAAAGTGAAACGCCTTTTTTTTACCCAGGTCAGGTCTGACTTTAGGAACAGACGAGAAGTAAAAGAAAAACTCTGAACTCTTCTTACTGAAGGAGGTCAGGAGGAAGGAGAGAGTAGATAAGACTATATTCTAGTTTTTAAGTCTGCATGTGGTGTGATATATGCATGACCCAGAAAGACTTTTCAAATAACAGACAGGTTGAGATAAAAAAAAAAAAAGATATGCAAAAACTGGTAAGATTTTCAGAATAAAACTCCACAAACACCTCAAGTTTTTGAATTTCAGGCGCGGAGCAATCATTCACAATTTTATATACGATGCAAAAGTTTCTGGATTTCATTTATTGTCACTTCCATTTTACAAAAAAATATCAAACAGCATGCACATCGTAATCATTGAATACTGAGTGCAAAGAACATAAACACAGGATGCATTCTTTTGACAACTTGTGAGTGAGCTAAAGCTGGGAAAAAAAAAATACTTATTTCTTCCATCGCATGGTGTGCACATGTGCAGAGTATTCATTATTAAAGGCTTTATATGTGATTTTTAGAAATCAAGTATATCCTCTGAAAATAACTCTGTGAGTCATGACTGTCTACAATGGGTGTAACACCCGAGTCCCACTGTCTGTGATGTTTTCAGAGTTTTCAGAGTCCTATCTTCACTTTGTTTACATCGCCAGGACGGCCGGCTGACTCCTCCCCTCGTGTATAAAAGTTGTTTAATTGAGGGACTAGAGAAAAGAAGAATAACATACTGTACTCACTGCTTAACTGTGTTTCTAGATCACGCTCATTTCAGGTAAATTTACATGCAGTGTGAAGATACCAGCATAATAAAGATCGCTAGCATTAGCATGCTAACACAACAATGCAGCGCAAGTTGTTTTGGTTTCATGCTGGTGCTCAAGGGCGACATCTGCTGGATCAAAAAATCACATATAAAGGGGCGCTGGTGGCGCAGTGGTTAGGAGGCTGGTTATGGAGGCTGTCATCTCAAGCAGGCGGCCCGGTTCACATCCCACCTGTGGCCTCTTTCCTGCATGTCATTCCCCACTCTCTCTCTCTCTCCCTGATATCTGACTCTATCCTCTGTCCTGTCTCTCCATTAAAGGCACAAAAAGCCCAAAAATAAATCTTAAAAAAAAAAAAAAAAAAATTTTAAGCCTTTAATCCTGCTTCCATTCACTAATTCATGCCTTTGAATTAAGGGAACATAAACACATCACATCTGGACCCGTTAGCATTTATTTCCACATTTGTCATTTTGTGCTTTTGAGCCTCATGGTCTTCTCTTCTGATGCCATCATGACTCTCCTCTGACTGTAGATGTCACGTTCAGCTTGCATGCAGTAAACTTTTCCACTCATGCAGACTGCACCAGTGTTGTCTGCTGAATAACGACGTCCTCTGCCAAGTGTGAACGTCTCATTCAGAGAGGATCCAGTGACCCGGGCCGCTGTTTGATCACCTTTTGTTTTGTGGCTGGAATATCAGGCACTCGGCCCTCATTTGGCACCCGCACACCGCTCTCTCTCTCTCGTGTGACACTTTGAAAAGCGCCATTGTTGGTACGGCTTGGGAAGCGGGTTGAACACGGGACCGAGGATTGCTGCTGCTG